AAAAGAAAAAGAAAAGAAACCTTGGCACCAGGGGCAGTGGTGTATGTCTGCAGTCTTAGCACCCAGAAAGCAGGAAGAAGTCATATGACACAAATACATGACCACAGTTGGGAGTGAACTTGGTCTGCATATTGGGTTCCAAGACACCCAGGGCTTCATAATGAGATATTGTCTCCAAAAATACAACAAAAGAAAAGAATGTAAAAGAAGATTAAAAACTGCTATTAGAACAATGTTCAGATCACCTCCATTCACTATGAAATGGATTATTTCATGTTGTAATTTGAGAACAGTGAAATCGCTGCCATAATGTATTAGTTATCTACTTTCCTATGTGGCAAATTATCCCAAAGCATAGCAGTTAAATATCTGTTGTCTCATGTACAGATTCTATAGGGGAAAATCCAGGAGCAGCCAAGCAAGGGAGGAAGGGGTCTGGCTCAGTTTCTCATGAGACTGCACTAAAAATGGACTTGGCAGGCCATTTCCAAGATGACTCGGTCACATGGCTGTCAGGAGGCTTCCATGTGTGGGCCTCCCCAGAGGCCTGCTGATTGCCTGGCAGCTGGCCTCCCCCAAAGCAAATGATCTAGAAGAGAGCAAGACATGAGCCACAGTATCTCTTATGACCTAGTTTCAGAATCTACCAACCACCCCTTCAGTAACATCTGAGTTATCCAGGCTGGCCCTGTTGTGGGAGTAGACCACAGAAGAATTTCAGTACCAGGACATAAAGATCACTGGAGCCAAGTGGAGGCTGGTGACCACACAGGCAGAGGCAGTGGCTTAATGCATGGGAGAGTTCAGGGAAAGTAAGACTTTATCTAGGTCCAACCACGGAGGGAACTGTAGACCAATTTCTAAATGTTCCTATTAAATAAAAAAAAAAAAACACAGAGCCAAATATAGGGGTGAAAGCCTTAGTGAGATCAGGGAAATAGGGAAAGCCACCAGCCAACCTTACCTCACCAACTCTGCAGCTTCCAAATGCAAGCTACTTCCTGTCTTACCCACTCCTTTATTGCCTTGCTGTTCTGCCCTCTCATTGGCTATCTTAGCCTAGCTACCTCACTTCCTTGTCACTGCCTGTCTGTACAAACCCCCAGGCTCTATGTTTGGTACTGGGATTAAAGGCGTGTGTCACCACGCTTGGCTCTATTCCCTAGTGTGGCCTTGAACACACAGAGACACTGCCTGACTTTTGTATTTCTTTAAAATGGCTTGCTATTTCCTCTGATCTCCAGGCAAACTTTATTTATTAACATACAAATAAAGTATCACTACATTTCAGCACAAATAAAATACCACCACAGGGAACTAAACCAATTTCTTTTTTGAGACAGTCTTGCCATGTAGCCCAGGCTAGGCTAGAACTCCACATCATCTTCCCTCAGCCTCTGGAGCACTAAGATTACAGGCGTGTGCTGCTGTTCTTAGCCAGGTTTTCCTAAGACTGAGGACTATTGAGCTCATTTGAAAAATGATGACGAGTTCATATTTCCAGGACTTTTTAATTACAGGGTCTTGCTGTGTAGCCCAGGATTGGCAACATAGACCTGAACAGACATAAGATTCTCCTGCCTCCATCTCCCAGGTGCTATCCTGAAAACTTTTAATGAGATGAAGTGAGCAGCCAATATAAGACTTAGCACAGTTCTGGAATTCAACAAATAATGTGTATTTATTTATTTTAAATTTAGCTTAAGACTAACATTCTGGTAAACCATTTGCTATCTGTTATTCCTGAATACTTACTGTTTTTAAAGAATATTTTACTGAATTAATGATGCATGCATTCCTTAAGCCATTTATATCAGTTCAGTTTGGAGGTTCCAATTGCTTAAAGCACCCACATACACACAACTTGTATCTACTGCTTAATGGCATTGGAATGCCATGTTTTAGTACAGCAGTTAACAGAAGAAGTCTGTGTCATATCCATATCCTATCCACAGGTGCAGCACTGACCCCGACCTCAGATAGGTCAGGGTCAGATCATCCCTGAATCCGTGCTCATCTCCATGGTAACCTACTTACCTTTTCCTCTAACAGATGGAGGTGTACTGTTCCGATTTTCATGCTGAAAGAGCAGCAAGAGAGAAGATTCATGAAGAAAAGGAGCAGCTGGCCTTGCAGCTGGCAATTTTGCTGAAAGAGAGCAATGACTTTGAGGATGGGGGCAGGTAAGAGAGAGCAAGAGGAGGTACGCTGGGTAAAGCACACAGGTAGGTCAGCACTCACAGGCATGCTGTAGAAGCCATGTCTTTACACACATCTGAGAACCGCTGTCCCTCCACCTCACCTGCTCAGGTTTCACACTTAGTTCACCTGAGAGCAAAGCTTGACAGATAAAGATAACATTATTTATCCCAGTATCTTACCTGGCCTTAAATTATCTGTTTTAAAAGAAAATACCAAATTCTGACTTTAAAAATTTATTTTTTTACTTTGTTTGTTTGTTTGTTTTTAGGCAGGTCATATCCTGTAACTCAGATTGGTCTAGAATTTGCTATATGCTGTCCTGGAACTTGCTCTTTAGACCAAGCTGGCCTCAAACTCACAGATCTGCCTGCCTCTGCCCCCCAAATGCTGGGATTAAAGG